ACAATTACAGAGAAAGACTTTTAGTTTCTCGATACTTGTATTATATCTCAAACGTCTTTATGGTTCAGCTTTTTATCTATATCTATTTGAAGAGCTTTGTCTCTTAGAGACAACATCGCCCAGTGTCACTTATGGTCTAATATGGCCTGAATGAATAGATTGTTTATGGGATAACGTGCTCCATGGTAGACTGCATCATCGCTTATCATCAGGTGAGATAGTGGTCAAACGTCGGCCCATCAAATATATAGGTATATAAAAAAAAAAAATTATATAACATTTTTGTCCTATCGTAAACAAGCAAGGATGCTGTTCAGTGGATCATAAAATATTATTTAAGAATTTTTCCTTGTTAAGTTGATTATATCACAAATTCATTATGGCATTCATGAACTAGATTTCGTATTATATATTAAAAGTATACAAACCTCGATGTTTTACTCAACCCTTTTCAAACTTTATCAACATAACTTACCTCTGAAATCACAACACGATTCCTGTAATATATGAATCTGTAATTACAGGTCTGTATTACAGAATTAAGTATATCATATATAACATGATAACGTATCGCATTAGTACAATATATAGGTCACTGCGCCGCCATAAATATGGGCAATCAACTGTGTTTGTGTGCGATTCCAATCTTGGAAACTATTTTGTTATTACTATATTTTTGTGTGTATTTAAATTTGTCAGTGTCATTAAAATAATAAATTGTTTGGGGTTTCATTATTAACAAATAGATTGTGCATGAGAACCAGTTGATTAGGTTCATGAATGTGATAAAAAAATCCTATATGGTTTTTGCCAACCTCCTTGACAAAAAGACGTTAGTTTATGTATGCATTAAAAAATCTGCAAAAAAATTAAAAATTATGCGACTCTCTACAGTCTTACGATTATCTGGTACTTATTTTTGATGTTATTGTATATCATGCTAACGGTACGTATTTTCCTCGAAAAAGCCTTCATTGCCAATGATTGTTAACGCTTACACTGGCTTCATTAGTATCTATCTTACATGAATAAAATTACTCGGCGTATAGACCAAAACTGAACTAATTGACTCTTCAAACACAGAAGTATAGCATAACAAGCGCACCCTAATAAGAAAAAAAAATCGAATCTTAAAACAAACGCGATAAAGCACACAATTAATCCACACACCTGTGTCAATGCTCTATTTAAAATCACAGGTCTACCCTTAACATATTACCTCGTTCAGTGTGAAAAATCTATTTTAATTTGTGTGAAATCGAGTGCATAACTGAACCAACGAGAATCGAATCAAGAATACGATTGAATCGATTTGTACAGTTCATTTGATATATCATTGGTTTAGAGGTCACGAGAGCACTATGTGTAAAATACCTATTGACATTTAGGTTCTCTCTTTGTCTGAGATAGGTATAAGGGAGGCTAAGTGGCTTTTAAGGTTATGTCGGATATGGGGTGTTTGGGATTGAACCTTAACCGTGTGGGGTTACAGTTGCTTTGTCAATAACCTAGCTAGGTAGTCTGTGTAGACTATTTAAGGAAGAAGAATATTTTTATGCAGTCTTGCATTTGGTATTTTTAAGGGGGAAAAATCATCGAATGACTGCTCCCGCCTGGGTGAGGCGAAAGGGAGTGTCAGACTCTTACTGACTAAAAACCACCCCGTTCCTTCTCCTGCACGTCGAGCCGGAGCCCCGGTTACGCGTTAGGTTCTCCGCGACTCCGAATCTGCATCGGCCCTGTTGGGCCCCTTCTGTGGTGGTATGATGGCTCTTTGAGGCGCGCGCGAAACGCGACGCGCTGTACGATCGAGACTGTTTCTGGTCGGACGTGGCATTGGGTTTAAGATATAAAAGTAGGTTCATCCTATAGCTTTCAGAACACCACAGATGGGGCCTAGTAGGGCTGATGCCCGATGAGCAACTGCAGAGTACTTAACGGGTTACCGGGGCTCCGGTTTGACAAGTAGGAGTGGGAGCGGGATGTTGTATAGTCAGTAAGAGTCTGGCCTATGCTCCGACGACCCAGATAGGCTATCATATGAGTTTAATAACTCTATTATATCACTGGTGCATAGTGTGTATATATACATATTTTCATATGAACACGTGTAACCTGTTTTTGGACGTTATGAATACACTAGACTCTAATCAAATTACACTACTTCTTCACAGTACGAAGCTAACTATTTTTGTAATATATAACTTAAGTAAGTACTTTGTATTTCAAGGTGGCTGAATTTTTAGTATACATTGTAAGTGTACTTGGAAAGTCTAAGAGCTTACTAAAAGCTCTTTAATGGATCTTTGTTTTCAATCCTGAGGTCCAAATGAATATTTAATAAATTACTTTGTTATCAACATTTGCGTTGTAATCTGGGTTTTTATTATTCTGCGTGTTATGTCAGATAATGTTGTGGAAAGTTTAAAATGTGTGTTCGAATCTTTTGAATGGTAGACGTAAAGATCAGGGTAAGAAGTCTGCCGTTGCATTATTATAAACTATGAGGAGTTCAAGCTAGCAAGTAATCATCATTTTAAACATTAAACAATAATTATAAGAATACCTACATTCTTTAGAGAAGGGCAACAGGAAAAGGATCAATTTAATAAATAAAACAACATTAACAACACAACTCTTTTCATTAGGAAGCTTAGCACATTCGATCATGGATGGTTCGGTAGCTGGGCAACCGCAACGTGTAGCGGGTTCGACTTCCGCATGAAGCAACTCTTTATCTGATTTACAAATTGTTGTTCCGGGTCTGGGTATCATTGTGATTGTAAACCTACGCAATCCACAGGAGAAAATCCTAATGTGGGGAAAAGTTTTTTTTTTAAAAACTAACATATTATTCGCATCCAGAAACACAGATCACACCAAAGAAACTAATAAACTACCAAAAGCAATGGACCACTTTCTTAAACCACACATCTTTTAAAATAGCCGGAAATGTATCTACCTACATAAATTATAGACGACGATGGTGTGTGTTTAACAGTAAATATTAATTATCTCAAGTAAATGAACCTTCAATCAACTACTGTTTAGTTAATTGATTAGTTCTGGTTATAATAATCATAACTGTTTGTTCAAGCTCAGTTTCAAACGATATATGGTCAATTGGATTTAATATAAACATTGCTTTATGTTTTCTATCATATCAAATGTCTATTATTTTGATACGAGTTATTTCTATTTTAACATTTTTTTATTACGACGTACAGACCATCATCACCTGATGGTAAGCCATCGGCGCTGCCCATGGATACCTGGAGCACCAAAGTTCGTTGCCGGCCATTTGAGGATTAGGATTTTGAGGATGGTTGTGGATCCGTGGATTGAGGAGATTGGGGAGGGGGGAATTCTGTCTCCGTAAACTTCACTCACATGCAGAAACACAACGCAGGTATTGTTTCACGTCGGTTTTCTGTGAGGCCGTGGTATCACTACTGTCGAGCCGGCCCATTTGTGCTGAAGCATGGCTCTCCCACATTTAGACAATAACAACCGAATTATGAACCTTTATTACATGAATGGTATTGCCAACAAAAAAGTTATAGCTTTCATTTTATAAGACCAATCACTTAAAAACTACGTCCGAAACAAAACACGAATGAAAGTTTTTATCAAAATAGTTTCCGAATTAATTGACTCCATACGTACCTTCATAGCTTCATACTACCAATTAGACCACAAGTAATAGGCATCTACACTATGTGCCCGAAATAGGAGATAATATCGTAGTAATTAAGCATTGATTATAATTGGTCCAGTGAAGCAGTTCTGATCATTATCGCTAAAAATCATCGGTTACTGACACCCACGCTTGTATTTGATTGATTGCACGGCATAATATTGAAATTCTGGGCTCAGAACTCCGGATAAATTGATGAGATGCAGATGTGAGGTTTCGAAAGCTACTTTATTTATTCGTCAATAAATAGTTTATTTAGCAATTAACATAATCACGTTTTAAGTGTAAGTTTAGTAGTATTTGGAGCAAAATTTACTAAACATCTTTGTTATTGTGTAAAAAACGTGTCAAATAATACGATAGCAGCATCATCTGTTTTATAATAGAACCTTATTTTATCACATGCTGACATATTCAAGGTCAATATTTATTCATTTCTGTTTTTTCCTTAGCAGCCTGAAGGAAGAAAAGCTAGCGATACGTAAAATGCTAACATTAAAACTAAAGAATTCCAACTTAACATCTCCATGTAGACAATCATGTTACCGACCACCAAGACCATAAAACCTTATCTATACTAGCGCAATAACATGTAAGTAGCACAAATATTCATGTTCAAACAATAACTCAACGGAAGACATAAGACGCTATCAATGTTTCTTTCTAACATTTTTGTCAGCAACAAATAAATTCTGTCCGGTAGGCACGGCTTCAGATCAAGCTATGATAACCAATATAGACTGACCGTTGATTGTGAAGAAAGATTGTACAAAGGGAGACCAAGACAAACTGGTTGTGTATAGCATGAATCATAGTCGTGTACCTATAGTATGTAATACACCATCGGTCTTCTGACTCTTATGTCCAAAACCCGTTCCTTTCCATACCCTACATTTAGATTGCGTGAACTCCACATAATTAAAAAGCGAGCACCTAATCGACATTATTGGAAGGTCGATGTGAGAACTAATGAAATGTAACTATTTCTGTGCATTTAAAACATTCGATAATGCTTTTTTTTATTTTCATTAATGTTTATTTCTCTTGGTGAATGTTTGTTTATTGGTTTATTTCTCATGTGAACTGGTTTGTGCTATTTTGGACCATGTGGCGTATAGAAGTTGGATAATTGGTATGATGTTTTTTGCTGCAATTGACCTATGAATCTAAATATCTAGGCAAATCACAATCTTTTTTTCTTCCGTTATAACAAAAAAGTTTTAAATTAAAATAGAATACGCTCCTTAAATCCTGTTAATCAAATGTAGTCCTTTATCCTTTAAACATAAACTCGTAATCTCACCTGGTTTATCAAGGTCACTCAAAAATTCCTCAGTGTCCGTGTACGCGGTGGTCCTTCCTAAGGCCGCGAGGACTGCAAGCCAGGCCCACGCGGCACATTTGAGCCTTGGCCTTCTCATGGCCTTGGATGGCCTGTGTGGGCCTCACTCTGACATCACGCACTACACTGCACTACACTACACTCACACTTTACACTAAGTTGCAGGGTCACCTGGAAAAAAGAAAGAAAATATTAATAATGTAATATTATTGTGAAACAAAAATCATATAGCTTTTCCAGAAACTAGTATTATAAAGATCATCAATGCACAGACACAAATAAATATTTGCTCTTAGTAAACCATAATACTTATATGTTCTTTTTTTTGACGAGGGAAATCCATCCAATCACCGGTGCCTTGGGTGAGGCGATAGGAAGTGTTAAATTCTTACTGACTAAAAACCACCCCGTTCCTACTTCTGCTCAACGGGCTGGAGCCCCAACAACCCATTAAGTCCGCCGCGGCTCCGTATCGGCATCGGTCCTACTGGGTCCTACACCCATCTGTGGTGCTCTAATGGCTTTTTGAGGCGCACGCGGAACGCGATGTGTCCGCGCCGTGCTCGCCGTCCACAGGCCTGTGCTTACGGTATCCGGAGATCGTCTCGCGTCTTAGTAACCGTATTTTAATTTAATTGCATTTAAGACATCATTAAAACTTCTGAACCGAAAAAGTTATATCTCTACTTCAATCTTTGTTTCACTATGGTTTAAGTTTAAATACTTCTTGGCAGAAAATCCCAAAACACCTACATTTTCAAGGCCCACAAAATAGAGAGCTAATTTTTGGAATCAATTATTCGGCCACCAGAACTGCGTTGTGACCTTAAAACACCCCAACATTGTTAGTTAATAGAGAACAACAAATAATTTATTAGTTCACTGTTAAAAACACACACATACAATAGTTTTTTTATTTGTCCGTCGTGAAATTGGTAGGCCTGTCCTGTAATTGATTTGATTACTGAAACAGCTGAACTGAACACGCACATGTTTTGTTTTCAATAATAAATAAGTAAATCGGTAAAGTGTTGTAGGAACTTTGTATTTACGTAGGTGTATATAGCCGCTCACCACTTTTTTACCTGACAAAAACTAAGGTTGATTAATTTTAGTGGCACAAGATACTAAACTAACGATTCTAAAAATAATTGAGACTGCATTTTCTTCTATAAAGTAGGAGCATAATATGGTCAAATTACTTATGTTTTTGTGTGTGTGATTGACAAACACCAAATTGACAAACACCAAATCACTAGCTAGAAATTTTCATAAAACTATATAAATACTTGGGTAGTTCATCAAGTTTTTACAATTGTAGGAAGATTTCCAGAATTACACAAATCTTTTTCCTCGAAAATTTCGAGAATGTAATTCCCTCCCTATCCCCCGTAATAAGGTTAAACTTACAATAACTTATATAACAGTTATCGTTAAAAATGAGTCGGAACTATTTCCTGAGGCCTTTGTATTTCCAGTTGGGGTCCTCTGAAAGAAGGTCCTTCTCTCTGAAGATGTGATATGTTGACGTGTAATTGTCAGATAACAGTAGATGACAATAGTATCGAATATTTGTCATTTCTTGAAGCGTTTTTGAGTGAATTGATTGTGATGGTGTAATTTTGCTACAAATACTACGAGTGAGAATTTAATCTAGGTCATAATCATTAGGCAGATTACGACCATTCAAGTATATAAAAGACTTCTTTAAGTTTTAGGTGAATAAAACTTAGAATTTAAGGTCAAATGCTATACAAAGTCGTTCTCCTAAAGACCTATAAAATCCTTTACACAGACAACAGATTTAAATACAACAAAGCAAAGTTACATAATATTAGCACCAGCATCAAACATGCAAAATGCAAATATTCTCCAACGGACCCTAAAATAAAGCCGTTACAACGTAGGGTTGTCTACACCATTTGTATTCTCAACCACACTTCCAGGGTTACCAACCACGTTATGACGTTTGTATATTACACTTTCAACAAAGATGGAAATATAAAAACTGTAAGAACTATCTTCAGGAATTAAATTGCATCTTTCAAAATGCCAATGAAAAGAGTCCAATTAGTAGACACCCCTTTTTTGTTACATGTTTAGGTGGCTGCCATTGCTTAACCCACCACTGCCGCCGCACCTGAGGTTCACATCTCTTTATAGTACAACCCTCTGAAGTTAATTCGCAAGTTATTGACTGAGAGGAAATTGGTCTTGAAAATACTAGTAGTATAGCTGGTTGGAAATAGTTGGAAGTTCTTGAGAATTTGATACATCCTACACTTAAAAAAGAGCTGGTATTTTTACATGAATCAACTCATGCAATGTAGTGTACGGGCATAATTTTTTTTTGAATCTGCACAATAGCAAATGGAGTCGGTAGTCCCTATGTTGAGATGGGTACATGTACCCTTGTCATTTGTAGCCTCCTAGTCTCTCAGGGTCCGTTTTTTTAGGGAACTAATGAGTGTCGGTCAGTGTCCATACACTCAGTACTAAAACACCATTTCTAAATTACCAAATGGTTTAGACAAGTTGACGAAGTACTTTTTGCAAATTGAACTTTCAGGTTTTTTTGTTAAAAACAGGACGAGCGTTGGATTTATGTCCTAGTACCTAACTCACGACTTCTGTCAGGTTTCGCTGAGAATGTAGCCCTTTTCAATTTACTCAAAGTGATTCTTTGGAAGTCCTTTTTCTTGTACATTATTTAAAGTCTTGTCTATTGTTAGAAAAAATGGGAATCACGTGTCGATTTCAAAAGTGAACGGTAGAGTTTGAGTATAAGAGACAATCAGTCCAAATAGGTTTCTTTTGAATAAATGGATAGCTGACTGACGTTACTAATGCAAGTATTTTATTAGTTAATCACATGATTAACTTAGAAAATATTATTTCCATTTACAAATCTGATTAGCATAAGAAGGACAAGGTGAGATTTTAATTGTGTTCCATGACATAAAAATTAATACAAGAATCTTTCCAATTTGAATTTCGTTTATAGAAACCACCATTAATTGTAATCTTAATGAGAAATAAAAATGTTAATAGTAAAACTCACAAAACTCCACTCTCGACCTCACCTCGATTATATTATTTACTCATTTATATGCTACTTATCAAATAACATTCATACTGCCTAATAAAGAGATAACATTAAAAGAAATGCGACTTTCAAAGTCTAATATTGAATTTTCATATTCCATTCCCACGACTCAAGCATGACAAAGTAATTTAATATCACCTTAATAAACTCTTAACATAGGTAAGTGATATTTAAAATTTAAAACAGTCACTAAAGAAACGGAATAATATTAGCTGACATTAAAATGAGGTGCAAAAAGTTCATTCTTATTCAGGGCCCGGTTTGCGAGCGAATTTTCCGCGGCACTGCCGAACGTGGATGTTTTACACTGATAGATAGGCCAACCTTTCTTTAAGCTTTGCTATGCTGCTATGGCACAAAGGTCTTTCAAAATAAGAACATTGATGGATATCAAGACAAAATTGCATTCTTGAAATCTACCTCCTGTTAAGTAAAGTGCATAGTCAGTCATTTAATGGAGTTTTTTCTAAGAGGGAAAATTATCGAATTACTCCTCCCGCCTGGGTGACCGTTTCTACCCCATTCCTACTTCTGCACTTTGAGCCGGAGCCCCGGCAACCCGTTAATACATCCGCGGCTCCGTATCGGCATAAGCCCTATTGGGCCCTTGTTTATCATTATTTTAATAGAGACTAGGTTTATGACCAAGAATAGAAACAGTATTAGACTGTGAATGATTCCTAAGCATTCCAAAACGTTTAGTAGGTACCTATTATCAAATACCGCTTTGAAGTATGAATGTCTTTAAAATACCATCACAAAATGCCAAAAAAAACATTTACGCTTCACTTGACCACTTACTCCACAAACCAAAAACGTAACACTTTTCTCCAAACAACTTCACATTTAACACAAACAAAATGAAAGGGTAATTTGCTAGAAGCACGATAAATATTGAAAAGCAACACAAAACATCATTATTAAAACATTTTAAACTCATTCAATATTCATTAAGTAATAAAAAATCGCTTACTCACAGCCCTGGCATCGCGCAACATTGGCACAACCCTTACAAAGCCGCATACATATTAATTTAACAGCCTTTTAAATGATTTAGTGCGCTATATTTTCACTTAAATTAAGGGTTTCATACTAAAATGTTTGGAACTCAGCATAATCGTAACCTATTGTAAAATTAAGCCAACATAAGCTAAATCATTTTTATTGCGCAGTCCGACTCAATTTTACGTATAATAAACTTTTGATTCAAAATGAGTTACTTGTTATAACAGTATTGCGTTCACCTCAAACATACATAATAGTTCTCGTAAAAATATATTTTAGGATACCTGGTTTAGGAAAATGGGTACAATATTATGTGGTTTACGATATAAGTAAGTACGGAAATATGAGCTTTCTATCAACAGTTATAAGAATTGGTATTGTGAATCAAGTTGAATGTGGCTGAAACCTATTTATCGGCAACTAGGTCAGGTATAGTAATTACCTGGTTCTGGTCATATTTGAGAATATCACAATTCTCAATATTCCTGTCTTTAGCAGCATTCGTTGATATTTATGAGTATTATACGTCATGTAACACCAGAAAAGCCAAACGGTGGCTATTGTTGATTAATTTTCACAGCATAGCTTAAGTATTTTGAGCCGCGGAAGACTTAACGGGTTGCCGGAGCTCCGGCTCGAAGTGCAGGAGTAGGGAAGGGTTGGGTTTTAGTCAGTATGAGTATGACACTCTCTCTCGCCTCACCCGGGTGAGAGAAGTCAATGGATGATGAAAAAAAGCTTAAATATTTTGCTAATTGGATTTCAATCGAGAATACTCCTGACGGACCTCCTTTATACGTTCCCAACCTATAAATCTCGGACGTCTATACAAAGACCATAATACATAGTTCCAGATTTAATACTACTTAAAACATAAATTCTAAATCTATAACAAAAAATATAAGTTTGCTATGTTTTTATAATACCTATTGTGAGACATAATAAACTAAAAATCGCGGGTTACTCAC